CCTGAACCCTGAACCCTAAACCCTAAACCCTAAAACCTAAACCCCAAACCCTAAACCCCAAACCCCAAACCCCAAGCCCCAAACCCCAAACCCCAAACCCCAAACCCCAAACCCCAAACCCCAAACCCCAAACCCCAAACCCCAAACCCACACCCTGGGAGGCCTTTTCCTGGCCTCCGAGGTTCAGGATTAGGGCTTCAGTGGCTTACGGTCTTGAAGGGGCCCTCGAGCCCCAAAACCCAAACCCCAAGGGCCTAGGATCCCCAATGCGACCCTGCATCCCTACTGTAGGACCCTAAACCCTAAACCCTAAACCCTAAACCCTAAACCCTAAACCCTAAACCCTAAACCCTAAACCCTAAACCCTAAACCCTAAACCTCTCTATCATAATGAATTTAAACCCTAATTCAAAAGTCGGCTACGGTGAATTTCGGCTTCAAAAGTCGGCAATGGTGAATTTCCTGGCCTCAAAAGTCGGCAATGGTGAATTTCCTCCACCCCCCCACCCCCCCCCCCCCCCACCCCCCCCCCCCCCCCCCCCCCCCCCCCCCCCCCCCCCCAGCCCCACCTACCCCCACCCCCATCCCCCCGCCACAGGTTTGAAAGAATTTGAGGCTTGGGGCTGATAGGGTTGAGAGTTAGATTTAAGCCTACTGGGAATGTATTGAGTGAACTTTGTATTTTCTCAATGTTATGGGTTTCTTGGGTGGGTGGGTTTTTTTCCAACGCTTGACAAGCTGCTTGACTAGTGAATGCTCGGACTTGAGATGCTGAACCCTAAACCCTAAACCCTAAACCCTGAACCCTAAACCCCAAACCTAAACCCCAAACCTAAACCCCAAACCCTAAACCCTCAACCCTAAACCCCAAACCTAAACCCTGAATTCACAGGTTTAGGGGCTGTGGGTTTAGGGCCAAGCCCATGAGAGCCTTCGGACGTCCAGTTGGCTCGCTTGGACCGCCACCGTCTTGCTGTAAGCCCTGTTCCCTAAATCCTAAGCACTACAGTAAGCCTTAAATCCTAAGCCCTAAATCCTAAACCCTAAACTCTTGAAAGTCTTGAATCTTGGCAACTGTGACACCATATTGGCAATCTAGGCCCCAAGCCCCTCTAGATTGCTTCTCGCCCGCAGCCCTCTAGACCCGAATAACTTTTAACCCTAGCCCCTGTAAGAACAAACCTCTAAACCCTAAGCCCCCAAACCCTAAACTCTAACCCCTACAGTCCAAACCCTAAACCCTGAACCCTGAACCCTAAACCCTAAACCCTAAACCCTAAACCCTAAACCCTAAACCCTAAACCCTAAACCCTAAACCCTAAACCCTAAACCCTAAACCCTAAACCCCAAACCCTAAACCCTAAACCCTAAACCTACAGTTTCCGAGGCCCGAGGTAGCAGCGGCCTCTGTCACACAAGCAGAGGCCCCGAGACCTTTGCCTGAGCCTTCTAAGCCCTCAAGCCACAGGCTTGGGTTTAGGGTTTAGGGTTTAGGGTTTAGGGTTTAGGGTTTAGGGTTTGGGGTTTAGGGTTTAGGGTTTAGGGTTTAGGGTTTAGGGTTTAGGGTTTAGGGTTTAGGGTTTAGGGTTTAGGGTTAGGGTTAAGAGTTTCGGGTTTCGGGCTTAGGGGTTAAGGGGTTTAGGGTTGAGGGGTTGAGGCTTTCAGGCCGTTTAGGGTTTCAGGGTTTGGTTCAGGGTTTCATTTTTGTTGTGGAAATCGCGCTCAGAACACCTACAGCCACAACCTACATCAAACAATGCGGCACTCTTCCAGGCTTCGAAGACTCAAAAAAGCAAAGCCCAAATCATGTGAAGCATCCAAGCTCTATGCCCTAAACCCGAAACCCTAAACCCTAAACCCTAAGTAAAGTGGCGTTGCTTGGACAGGTTCTGCAGCTGTTGATTTGTAGAGCGACGTATCAAGCAACCCTTTCAGACCCGCAATGGATTTGCTCAGGGCTGAAGGCATGTCCGGGCAGTATTTTCGGAGTTTTGGGGTTTAGGGTTTGCGGTTTTAGTGTTTAGGGTTTGCGGTTTAGGGTTTAGGGTTTGGGATTTAGGGTCTACGGTTTCGGGTTTGGGGCTTATGTTTTAGGGCCCGCAGCCATTCAACGGCCCGGATTTTGCCCTGTTGCAAGAGATGGCGTCCGCTGCGGTGTCTGATGCGGCTCTGCCGTGTTTTGACAAGCTCTGCACCCTGAACCCTGAACCCTGAACCCGAAACCCGAAACCCGAAACCCAAAACCCCGATTCGCACTTCTGGTGCTGTGTAAGTGGCGAACTGCTCTCAATACTTGTGGAAGTTTCAAGCCCAAAGCTCGGTACAAGCTTGCTTACACCCCTGCCTCAACTAAACCCTAAACCTCTAAACTTCTAAACTTCTAAACCTCTAAACCTCTAAATCCTCTAAATCCTCTAAACCTCTAAACCTCTAAACCTCTAAACCTCTAAACCTCTAAACCTCTAAACCTCTAAACCTCTAGTCCCCTAAACCTCTAAACCTCTAAACCTCTAAACCTCTAAACCTCTAAACCTCTAAACCTCTAAACCTCTAAACCTCTAAACCTCTAAACCTCTAAACCTCTAAACCTCTAAACCTCTAAACCTCTAAACCTCTAAACCTCTAAACCTCTAAACCCTGAATCCACTGAACACTCAGCGCTCAGACGTAAGGACCCTCATGCAAGCTCCACGTCCACAGGTTTTCAGGAGATCACAGTTTGTGTGGGCTGTGGTTCATAGAACCCCTAAGCCCCTAAACCTGAACCCCAAACCCTAAACCGCTTAACGGTTCGTTTGCTCTGGGGTTGCTTCCGGGTTTGAGGGTCCCTCAGCAGGTTTCGAGTTTAGGTGAGCCCTAAACCCCAAACCTTATAAATCCTGACAGGAGCTAGACAAGTGACAGGGAGAGAGCACGTAACCTTCACTTTTCTTCTCTTTGGCGACTTCATCGCAGGAGTGTCTTAGGACGGTTCAGCTTCGCGGTTGCCCATGGAGCTTGTGCTAGCCGGTTAAAGACAGGACCCTAGCCCCTACAACCCTAGGCCCTAAATCCTGAATGCTAAATCCCAAAGCCTGGCAGCCTTAAACCCCTTCACCCCGAGACCCTAAGTCCTACACCCTTTCCACCCGCAACTCCCCTGTAAACCCTGTAAACCCAAAAAACTCTATAAACCCCCAAAGCCTAAAGCCCATAAACCCTATATACGCTAAGCCCCGAAGCCCCCAAAACCCTACACCCATCTCAACCCTTAAACCCTAAACCCTGAAACCCTAAAACCCTTAAGCCCTAAACCCGTAAACCCTAAACCCTTAGCCCTTAGCCCTTAACCCTTAGCCCTTAACCCTTAACCCTTAACCCTTAACCCTTAACCCTTAACCCTTAACCCTTAAAGCCAAGCCTCAGGTGACAGTGCTCTCGGTCAAGCTGGCCAAACCACGGCGAGAGCGCACGCGCAAATTTCGGCAGGCCCGAAACCCCAAACCCGAAACCCTAAACCCTAAACCCCAAACCCTAAACCCTAAACTCCAAACCCTAAACCCAAACCCTAAACCCTAAATACCCCAAACCCTAGTTTGGAATGTTGGGTTTTTGGGTTTACGGGCTTAGGCCTTGCCGGGTTTAGGGTCCTACGCTACCCTAAACCCTGAACTATCCCTAGACCCTAAACCCTAAACCCTAAACCCTAAACCCTAAACCCTAAACCCTAAACCCTAAACCCTAAACCCTAAACCCTAAACCCTAAACCCTAAACCCTAAACCCTAAACCCTAAACCCTAAACCTTGCCTAAACTCCCAAGCCCTCATCCCAGAGGCTCATTGACTAGGCCCTGGAGTGGGCCCTTGTTCCCTTTTAAGGGGTTTAGGGTTTAGGGGTTTAGGGTTTAGGGTTCAGGGTTTAGGGCTGGACCCAGAGTAGGCCTTTATTCCCTTTTTTGGCGCGTTTAGGTTCCTTGAAATAAGCCCCTTGAAACCAACAAGGAGGGTCTAGTTGGGCTAAGAGCATGCAAGCACCTTGCACCCCCAAGAATCTTATTGTATATTTATAGAGACTATGCGGGGGTATTTTCTCTAAACCCCAAACCCCAAACCCTGAACCCTCAACCCTAGGGCTTCGGTTTTGTCATCTTGGCTTGCCAGCATATCGGCCTCAACCTCCTTGCAGTTTCTTGGACGTAGAGCTCGGATGTTGCCCCCTGGTTCTTAGTAGGGAATGAGGGAGTTAGGGCCCTATAAGGGATTATGTAGGGTACCTCATGCCCTCATGTCATGATTCCCTGCAGGGCCTTTGCAGGCCATAAGGTTAGGGTTTAGTCGTTTAGGGTATAGGGCTTTGAAATTTAGGCCATAGTTACAGACAAGCATAAGTTCGGCACTCCGAGTGCAGCAGTCTCCGTACAGAGAGGGCTTTCATCGAGCGGAGGGTTTCCCGGTCAGGGCTTGACACATTGCGGGAATTTGGTGTTTTTGTCGAGTCTATCGCCCCCTTAGGAATTGTTTCTCCTTTGTTTTTTTTTATAAACCCACGGGAATAATTACATTAATATTGTTTTACGGTTCTAAGCATTTAGGGTTTTGATAAAAAAAGCACTAACATTAATTCTTTATTAAGGTTCTAAGGGCGGCATGGGAGTTGGTTCCAGGACCTGGCAAGGGATGTCAAGAAGAAGCCGGAGAAAGTCAAGGTCGAGGTTCGAAAGGAGTTGTTTAGGGCTTCAAGTTTGTGCTAGGGTTTAGGGTTTAGGGTTTAGGGTTTAGGGTTTTTGGTTTAGGGTTTAGAGTTGCAGCAAGAGGTGACGAAGGAGGCGGCAAGACGCTTGACGTGTGGGAAATGGAACATGTTGGAGAGCTACAGTATCTTCCTAGGTGGAAGAAGTTTCTTTTTAGGTCCTGGGTGGGTTCTTGCGATGCACCTCCCTCGCACCCGTTGTCCCCGGCTCAGTTTGGCACGTGTCCGGTCGCAGGTGGGGAGCCAGATGCAGCAGGAGGGCGCGAGCGTCATGGAAGAAAAGTTGAGCTTAGAAGAGGTGAAGGAGGAAGTGAAGGAAGAGGCTCGCAAGGTGGAACCGGAGACGGCAAGGAGGGTGACGCAAAAGGTCAAGGGGGAGGGCAAGAAGGATGAGGTGAAGGAGGAGGTGAAGGATGAGTTGAGGGAGGATGCGCAGGAAGTGAAGGAAGAGGTGATGGAGGGTGTGAGGCAAGCGAAGACGGAGGTGAAGGAAGAGGTGATGGAGGAGGGCGCTTCAAGCACAACCCAACTTGCTTCCCCCCTGGCGGGAGACGGGATTTCGGCATGGTATAGTGCCACCTTCTTCCCTACTAGCTTAGTAGGTCTGGCGTAGAATGGAATGGTTGGGGCCTGACATCATTTGAACGCTTTAGATCGGTGATGGTGAGGTGATCCATGTGAACAGAGATTAGTCAGAAGTCAACCGTGCCTTGCTCATTGACGATCCGGCTGACCCCTGTCAAAGGAGGCGGTGTCGGAGATCAAGAACGAGGTACTGGCAAAGCAAGAAGTGAAGCATGAGGTCAAGCAGGAGGCTGTCTCCTAAACCCTGATTAAACCCTCAGCTGTACCCTAAGCTGTACCCTAAACCCCAAACCCTCAACCCTAAACCCTATACCCTAAACCCTAAACCCTAAACCCCAAACCCTAAACCCTAAACCCTCAACCCTAAACCCTAACGCCAAACCCTAAACCCTAAACCCTGAACCCTAAACCCTAAACCCTTAACCCTAAACCCTAGACCCTAGACCCTAGACCCTGAACCCAAACCCTATAAACCCTAAACCTGAACCCTAAACCCTAAAGGAGTGTCGGAGTGCCCTCACCTTCGATTACATCGGTCGTCGACACTAGCTTAATGAATTGCGAGGAACACCTGCTCCAAAAAGTAAGGATTTAGGGTTTAGGTTTCAGGTTTTAGGTTTTAGGATTAGGCTCTGTGGTTTACTCCAGTTGAGGCCATGCAAGCCTGACAGAAATCCAAATCGCGAGAGCCAGTCACCCTAAACCCTAAACCTCAAACCCTAAACCCTAAACCCTAAACCCAAAACCCTAAACCCTAAACCCTAAACCCTGCTGCAGGGCGGCGGATGGAAGATCCCGATGCTGCTCGGCTTCACGACATCCTCAGCTCAGGAAACTTGAAATGGGGGGGGGGGGGGGTTTCCGAAATTGAGGGTACCTTGTTATTAGGGGTCCTTACAATTTATATATATATATATATATATTTTTTTTTTCTTTTAAGTTTCTATTATAATTAGAATGACATCCTACAACTTGGGGATCTATATTGGGGAGTCTCCTATTTTCGCAAGCCGCTAAATCGACCATTCTTCAAAGACTGTGGTTATGGGGTTTAGGGCTAACCCTAAACCCTAAATCCTAAACCCTAAACCTTAAACGCTAAACCCTAAACCCTAAACCCTAAACCCTAAACCCTAAACCCTAAACCCTAAACCCTAAACCCTAAACCCTTACCATGTTGCGGTGATGGTTGTAGCAAGGGCAGCGTCCATCCAGGATGGAGCGCATTATAGGGGTTGGAATAAGCACCGTGTAATGGTACTCCCTTTGGGGTTCCTATATAATTCTACTATAATAACCCCGAAAACCCATTGAAACTCTGAAGGCCCCTATACTAGTCACGAGTCAGGATCCCTCCATGCCTTCGCTCTGCGATTCCGGTTTTTCACTCCGGAAGAATCCCGAATCTCCACCTTGCATGGTGTCATGCGTCACGATGTTGCACTGTTTGGCTATTACCACGTGCTCTGCACACTACAGGCATATCCAGCAAGCTCGGCCCTTTCCCCTTTTTGCGCTCAGGACCAGAGTGAAGCGGGAGTGTGTGGAGGAAGCCCAGCACACGTACTGGGTAAAGCAGGAAGCCGAAGAGGATGGGTCGATTCGTCCCAGCAAGAGGCGCCGCATCGGTCACAAGAGGCCGGACATCTCGCCTCCATCGTTTGAGTCGCGGCTGCCAGAGTGGGCCGAGAAATGCCTAGCATTTCAACGTTCTGGCAAGACGTGGCTGCCCACAAAGCCTTGCTGCCCAGCCAGCCCCTTCCTTGGACTGGCAGCGGCACCCTGGGAAGGATGTGAGGAGGAGAGGGTGACGGCCTGCGTACAGCGCCTCGGCAAGGTGCAGTTCTGCGATTTCCGGGACTTCTTCCGCGAGAACCCACACCATGCCCTCTTCAATGATTACGGCAAGGACCCCAGCGGCTCAGGGCGAGTGGAGAAGGTGCACGGCCCCAAGCCTCAGCGCTTGCAGGACCCAGCTGCGAAGCAGCACCGCGCAGCCGAGATGATGAAGATGTGGCCCTGGATGCACGACCTTCCGACGCGGGCTTGGGCCGGCCACGGCTGGCTGGTCGAGGAGGACGGCATGCGCAGGCTCTCGCCCACAGGCGGCGGCTCCGCCATGAAGGGCCTCCAGATCTTCGAGGCCTTCGGCACCGTGCCCGAGGCAAGCCAGGAAGCCCCCGGCGCCTCGGCTCCGACCACCTCCAGGGCCGCCGGCCAGGTCATTACGAAGAGCTTCCGCGGCCTGGAGCGCCAGAGCGGGGTGCAAAACATCAGCTGGCAAAAAACAAAGGGGACATGGGTACTTGGGTGGGGGGAAGCCAGCAAGCGGAAGCAGCTCAACTTCCCCATCTCCAAGCACATGAAGGAGGGCCTCTCTGAGGACGATGCCGTGGCGGCCGCGCTGGAGGAGGCCAAGGCGCACCGCGAGGAGCTGGTGCGCCAGGGCAAGCTGAAGCCCCCGAAGCGGGTCACCGGATCCGCCGTGAGGGGGGTGTTCTTCAAGAAAAGCATGCAGAAGTGGGCGGTGGCCAATTTGACGGACCCGGCTACGAAGAAGAAAGTGCACGGTGGCTATTACAGCACGCTTGCAGAGGCCGAGGCCAAGGCCCGGGAGCTGGCCGAGAAGCTGGGCCTGCACGAGCAGGTGGTGCCGGTGGATCGGCTCTCGGAAGTCCCGCACTTCGAGCCGCTCGGGCCGCAGCCGGGAGTGAAGTGGAGCCGTGGAGAGAAGGCCTGGCATGCACAAATCCAGATGGCTGATCGCAGAAAGCACATGAGGTTCCGGCCCAAGGACTTCTCAAAGAAGGAGGTGGAGAAGGCCTGGAAACAAGCGGTGGCCTGGCGCACGCAGCAAGAGAAGGCGAGAGAGAGGAGGCTGAGCGAGCTCGAAAGCGCTGAAGGCGGAGGAGGGGCGTCCTCCTGACGGGCAAGTTGCCGCACTCTGGGCCGCCACTCGCGCGACAGCTCGAGTGGCACTTTTGAAGCTTGTATCTCTTTCTCACCAAGGATCCCTGCCTTGCATGGTGTTTTTGGTATTTGGGGGTTTACGACATGAAGTGACCCCAAATATAAACCCCAAATAGCAGGATTCCCCTTCAAATAAGGACCCCAAGAAGGTACACCCATTTGTTCAGCAGTCAATCACACTCAACTACCATGCAATCGCACCCCCAAAACAGGGATCCTACTCATGCGGCACGCGCAGACCCTAACCCTAAACCCTAAACCCTAAACCCTGGACCCTGAACCCTAAACCCTAGTTTCATTCTGCAGACAGGAGCCAGAAGCGCCCCTGTGCATGTGGCACTATTGCAGTTGTGCGCCCCAAGGCTCAGCATGACGGTTTAGGGCTTAGGGTTTAGGGTTTGGGGTTTAGGGTTTGGGGTTTAGGGTTTAGGGTTTAGGGTTTAGGGTTTGCTCCCTCAGCGCTCCTAGAAACCTTGGAGGCCTCTCCAGGCTTGCTGAGCTTCTGCGCGCAGGGACTTACAGCGGTGGTGAAAGTCTGAATTGGGCAAGTTGGACCCTAAGCCCTAAACCCTAAACCCTAAACCCTAAACCCTAAACCCTAAACCCTAAACCCTAAACCCTAAACCCTAAACCCTAAACCCTAAACCCTAAACCCTAAACCCTAAACCCTAAACCGTTTCAGGTCTTGGCTCGGAAGGAGGGGGGAGGGTGGGGGAGAGGGTTCCTCTAATAAGCATAAGGAGGTTTCTGCTTGAGGTTTAGGTTGACGGTCGCGCGTAACAACTTTGCATTCTATGCCTGCCATTTTATGCACCCTAAACCCTAAACCCTAAATCCTAAACCCTAAACGCTAAACCCTAAACCCTAAACCCTGCTTTGCATGGCAACATCTGAAGCTTGCAGTTCCTCATTGGCGCCATGTGTTTTGTGTGTCTAGTGGATGTCGTTTCTAAGTTGTCTCTCAAAGCCACCTGCCATGTTTACGGAAATTCATCATTCACGGACGATGATACGTGTGACAACCCTCATCAACCAGGACCGGGAGTAGGCCCTGATTCCCTTTGTTTAGGGTTTCGGTTTCCTTATCAGCCCCTTGAACCCAAAAAAGGGCACCCTGTTTATTCCTAGGTTACTCTTGGTCCCAAATCCCTAAACCCTAAACCCTAAACCCTAAACCCTAAACCCTAAACCCTAAACCCTAAACCCTAAACCCTAAACCCTAAACCCCTGGGTCTAGTAAAGTTTAGCTGCTCATCAAGCTGCCGGGCTGCCTTCGATGTATCCCGGACAAAAACTGGGTTTTGGAGTACTACACTTTAGTACTTTTTTTGGTTCTGGGTTCCGATAATAGCTACTTATACCTAAAAAGTATATACTTGTTTTCCAGGGTCCACTCCAAAGCTAAGAAAAGCACAAGCCGTTCGGTCGGGGGTTAGTTGTGCTAGATTTTAAGGTTTAGGGTTTAGGGTTTAGGGTTGATTTTAGTGATATATAGATATACACACATATATATATATATATATATATATCTCTCTCTCTCTGAGGATCCCAATAAGGTACCCTGAAATTCGGAACCCCCCCCCCCCCCCCCCGCCAAATATACACATGCATATGATGGTTATGGTGCCATGTCCGCAGCAGCTGTCGTGCTCGCGCTGTTCACCGCGGAGGTTGGGGTGGTCGTGGCGAGCGACAAGCACCGAGCAGATGACAGCGTTTGTAACAGCGACTGCCAGATATTCACAGACGCGAGATCTGCCTTCGAGAAGATTTGGCAGCACCACGGCGCCATCATAAGCAGATCTGACATAGACTGCGCAATGCAAGCGCGTGAAGAGTCCGCCCGCACCATTTTCCGTGGCAGCAGCCTATTTGGCGGTGAGATCATGATCCGAGAAGGCTGCGTGGCAGGCGGCTGGCGGGAGCTCTACACCGACGCAGGGGTTGATTTGAAAGTACTTTTTTTCATTTCTAGTAGCCCCTACAGTAATCCTTATATAATCCTTATTAATTTACAAGCCATAAAATATTTTGATTTTTACCTAGTCTAGGACAGGGAGGAGCAATCCTCGTCACTGGACGAGTTCATTTATCACGAGTCGATGATACATCCAGCGCTGGCCTTGTATGAGACGATGCACGGTTCGCCGGCAGCTTTTGCCTTTGTTGCTGGTGGAGGCGAGATGTCACTTGCACGTGAGGCGTTGCGGTGGCCGCACTTGTCTAAGGTTCTGACCTGTGACATTGACAGGACGCTTGTAGACGCCATTCGGCATCACATTCCGAGCATGGCCGGCGCAGCTCACACAGATTTCCGCAGTGAGGTTGTCTTCGAGGATGCTGTGGAAAAGCTGCAGTCCTCACCGGATGCTGCTTTCTCTGTGATCATCAACGACTTGCCAGACCCATTCGAGAACCAAGCTGCGCGCAGCTTCCATTCGCTTAGTTTCTTGCGCATGGCGCGTCGCAAGCTTGCTGGCGGAGGCGTGTTTGTTGCCTCGACAGGCCCGTGCAACCTCGCTTCTCGGGATGAGGTGCTGAATCAGACGTTCGACTACGAAGCTCTTGGGTACGACGTGGACCGCCGGCTCTCTCGTGATCCTGTTGCATCGGAGGCAAACTACTTGATTTTCTACGGCATGCTCCGCGCTGTGTTCAGCCAAGTCATTGTACATCATATCCCCATGGTCTCGTGGCACGGCAGCAACCGAGACATGGTAGCCCAGTGGTACCCTTATGCCCTTTTTGTTGAATCGAGGTTCCCTTTTACAGTAAACAACCATAAGGGTGCCTATGGTGACTGGGCTACCAAGTAAACCTCTAAGCCAAAAGCCCCAAGCCCCAAGCCCTAAACCCTAAACCCTGAACCCTCAACCCTCAACCCTAAACCCTAAACCCTAAACCCTAAACCCTAAACCCTAAACCCAGGAGAGCACATGTACTGCATCTTCCTTGCCACGGATGGCGTCCCTGGTGGGGCGAAGGCAGTTACGCCCACCCTTCCGGCTGAGCTCACATCGAAGCTGCAGTTCCTGGTGACTGGGTTTAGGGTTTAGGGTTTAGGGTTTAGGGTTTAGGGTTTAGGTATTAGGGTTTAGGGTTTAGGGTTTAGGGTTTAGGGTTTAGGGTTTAGGGTTTAGGGTTTAGGGTTTAAGAGAGCCATCCTAGGTGAACAGCAGCGTGCTGCAGTGGACGAGTGCCGTGTCACCCGCTGTCGAGGCGCTCCTGGCCGAAGCGGCGGCGAGAGGAGAGGGGAACCTGGGGGACCAAGCAATTCCCTTTGTAAGGGCTTCTGGGGTTTAGGGTTTAGGGTTTAGGGTTTAGGGTTTAGGGTTTAGGGCTACTGGGACCCAGAGTAGGCCCTTATCACTTTCTTGGGGGGTTTAATAGGTTCCCTTTGGGCCCTTTTACACCAATACGGTGCGCCCTTTTTCATTCCTAGGTTACTCTTGGTCTGGCACATGAAGCCGAAAAGAGTGTATGGTTCATATACCTTAATATTCATTTTCATGGTGCAGGGTAGACCCCCATTTTTCGGGTTCAGTTGGTCCCCTAAACCCTAAACCCTAAACCCTAAACCCTAAACCCTAAACCCTAAACCCTAAACCCTAAACCCTAAACCCTAAACCCTAAACCCTAAACCCCAAAGCATCCCAAGGAACGAGCTCCTCCTCCACAAGAGCCTGGCCACGGACACGTCTCAAGGTGTCGCCGGGCACATGGCCGAGCAGCGCCGGGCGCAAGAAGCCTTGGGCTACAGCAAGGAGGCTCGGGATCCACTTTTAAAGCCCTAAAGCCTGACCTAAACCTTAACCCTAAACCCTAAACCCAAAACCCTAAACCCTAAACCCTAAACCCTAAACCCTATAAACCCTAAAACATCCCTGTAACGCAAAATCTAAAAATCCCTGGAACCCTAAACCCTAAACATTCCCTCTAACCCTAAACCCTGAACAAGTCCCTATACCCCTAGCCCCGAAAACAGATTCTATACCCCTTGACCCCAAGAACACCGATATCTCTAAACCCTAAACCCTATAACCCTATAACCCTAAAGCCTAAACCCTACGCCCTAAATCCCAAAGGCGTGGGATCTGAACCATCGCGTGCCGGTGGACGACAAAGCTTGGATCGAGCTCAGTCCGGGTGAACGGCGGGCAGCCAGTGATCTGGGGTACACCCAGGCGTCGTGGGACGCTGAGGACGACTGATAATTGGGGGTTTAGGGTTTAGGGTTTAGGGTTTAGGGTGTGCTAGTGCGCAAGCGCGTGTAGTGGCTGTCGCGTGTCGTTCTAGGTCTCACGCCGCAAGAACTGGCATGATACCTGCACGTGGATGGAGGGCATGAGGCTTCAGAAATCAGATGATGACGCACGTGTGAAATTCATCAACATCGTAAATGTTTCCTTCGTACTTCGCGCTATTAGTTTAAGGTTCAGAAGTACACATCCCGTACACTGTAGGCACCCCTAAACCCGTACACCCGTAAACCCGTAAACCCTAAACCCTAAACCCCAAGCCCTAAACCCTAAACCCTAAACCCTAAACCCTAAACCCTAAACCCTAAACCCCGGTGAGCTCTCCCTAAACCCTAACCCCGAGAATTCTTTGAGGCCTTATAAAGGCCTTGCTTCGAGCTGAGGCTTCTGCGTGTAGGGAGTTGCATCAGTGGTGACACTCTGACTTCTGCAAAAAATGGCCGAGGGGGGAAGGTGAGGCTTCTAGATTAGGGTTGAGGGTTTAGGGTTTAGGGTTTAGGGTTTAGGGTTTAGGGTTTAGGGTTTAGGGTTTAGGGTTTAGGGTCAGGGTTTACATGTAACAAGTCAAAGGCGAGAAGCAGCATAACCCCCTAAAACCTTAAACCAGCACAACCCCTAAAACCTCAAACCTTGAAGACAGCCCTCGGCCAAAAATCGCCTAGCCCCTGGACTCTAAACCCGAAATGGCGGTTTTGGCAAGGTGTGAAGGGGGGTGTCACGTGAGGCCCCGCACCCGAAACCATCCCACGCCCAACTGGAAGCCTTTCGAACGCGCCAGACCCGGGGTCACATGCAAGTGGGCTTGTAGGAAGAACACGGTCCCTAAACCCTAAACCCTATATACCCTAAACCCTAAACCCTAAACCGCCTTGAAGCAAGGGAGACCATTCACCAAGAGTTCCGTTCATGCCCAGATGGGTTTAGGGTTTAGGGTTTAGGGTTTAGGGTTTAGGGTTTAGGGTTTAGGGTTTAGGGTTTAGGGTTTAGGGTTTAGGGTTTAGGTGTTGCTTTGAGTTACCCTCAAAGGCATAAAGAAGGGACCCTTACAAGGGGCCTTAGGGGCAGTATGGGGTAATGCAGGGGGCTACTTAGGTATGTAGGGACTATAACAGGTATATGGGGTTAACAGGGAAGATCAAGGGTCCCTTCTAGGGGTCCCTCCTTTTACCCCTAAATACCCGAGACCCTCAACCCTTAACCCTTTTGACCCCCAAATCGTTGCTGCTCTTTCGCACCCCCCCCCCCCCCCCCGCCCCCAGTGACCTTACATTCTTGCAGCCCAACATCCCATAAGCCTCATCAACAAAGACCCTCAATAGCTAAAACCCCCTACTCCTGGACCCACAAGAATGCCTATAAATTCTGAACCCCAAGCCCTAAAGCCCTGAACCCTCAACCCTTAAGCCCTAAAACCCTTAAATCCTAGAAGCGTTAAAGCCCTGCACACCATAAACCTGAAAGCACCAAAACTGTAAACCCCCTAAGGCTCTGTACCCCTACAGCCCAAAGCCCTAAACCCTAAACCCCAAACCCTAGCCCTAAACCCTAAACCCTAAACCCTAGCCCTAAACCCTTAACCCCTAAACCCTAAACTCGAAACTGTGCAGGTGACCAAAGAGACCCAGGCAACGACCGCGGCGCCAGAGCCGGAGGCACCGAAGCCACCAGCGCCGGAGCCGCCGGCGCCCTCGCCGACGCTGGGCAGCACGAAGGGGGTTTAGGGTTTAGGGTTTAGGATTTAGGGTTTAGGGCTTAGCGTTCAGCATCTCCAGATCGAGCAGTTTTATGGTAAAGTTATATTCGCGGCGCTGATATATCACCCACCCACCCAGAGAATCCCATAACAATGAGAAAACTAAAAGCGGCCAAAGTCTGAAAATAACGCGGGGCCAACTTCTGAAGATGCGACGACCAACTTCTGAAAATGCAGCGGCCAAATTCTGAAAATGAAGCGGCCAAAGTTCTAAAACTAAAGCCGCCAAATTCTGAAAATAAAGCGGCCAACATCCGAAAATAAAGCGGCCAAATTCTGAACATGAAGCGGCCAAATTCTGAAAATCAAGCGAACAAATTCTGAAGCTCAACTAGCCTTTGGCCTGGTTTTGGCAAATTCTGAGAATGAAGCGTCTGAAAATATAACTGCAAGTAAAAACAAATGCGGCCAAATTCTGGAAAAAAGCGGCCTTATTCTCAAAATTCAATTCAGGTTTAAGTATATTTGGTAGAGAGGGTTTAGGGTTTGGGGTTTGGGGCTTAGCGGGTTTAGGGTTCAGGGGGTTCAAGCGGGCTTGGGAGGCTTAGAGCTATTCGGATTTAAGGGGTTTAGGCTCTAAAGGGGTTTAGTCTTTAGGGATCTAGGGTTGAGGGCTTCAGGTTGGGTTTAGGGTTTAGGGTTTAGGGTTTAGGGTTTAGGGTTTAGGGTTTAGGGTTTAGGGTTTAGGGTTTAGGGTTTAGGGTTTAGGGTTTAGGGTTTAGGGTTTAGGGTTTAGGGTTTTAGTGTTTAGGGTTTAGGGTTTAGGGTTTAGGGTTTAGGGTTTAGGGTTTAGGGTTTAGGGTTTAGGGTTAGGGGGGGGGGGGGGGGTTTGGAGTTGAGGGTTTACGTGAGGCTTGGAGGTTTGGAGTTGAGGGTTTAGGGTTCGGGGTTTAGGGTTGAGGGATGTAGGCCCTGAACCCCTAAAACCCGAAACGCTAAACTGCCCTAAATAGCCCTGAGACCTATACCCTAAACCCTAAACCCTGAACCTCTCCTGTTTGAATCCTGGGACAAAACCCTAACAACCCTCAAAAAGCGAAAGCGGCCCCTAATCTCTAAACACCGTAAATAACAAGCCTGAGAACCTTAAAAAGAAACAGCGGACCCTGGACAACCTTCAAACAAAGCCTTGAAACAAACACTAGAAACCCTACACCCTAAACCCTAGACCCTAGACCCTAGACCCCAAACCCTAAACCTTAAACCTTAAACCCTAAACCCTAAACCCTAAACCCTAAACCCTAAACCCTAAACCCTAAACCCTAAACCCTAAACCCTAAACCCTAAACCCTAAACCCTAAACCCTAAACTCAACTCCCCTGCTTCGAGGCCAACTACGACTCCCAACCCCAAGCTTGAGAAGGCCGCTGTCCGGGCTTCTTAAAAATCAGCTTATGAGTTTGTTGGGGGGGGGGGGGGGGCGGGCGGGGGTCAGGGGGTCTGACAAAGGGGGTGTAGGGGTTTGATATAGGGGGTTTAGGGTTTAGGGTAGTTAACGCACCTCGACTTGATGGATGTGTAGACCGTGTAGGGCTTCCTAGTTTGCATGTGTCTTTACGCAATGTGGATGAGCTCGAGGGCTCTAGGGGGGGGGCTATGACGATTCAAGCCTACGGTGTAGTTTTTTAAATAAGTGGAGGGAGGCCAGGACCCCGGACCATGGAGGTAGTATAAAAGTGCTGATTTGAACCCACCCCTCCACCGTCTCTGCCGGTGGGGGGTGGAGGGGTGGAGGGGTGGAGGGGTGGAGGGGTGGAGGGGTGGAGGGGTGGAGGGGTGGAGGGGTGAGGGGATGAGGGGGGAGGGGTGGAGGGGTGAGGGGTGGAGGGGTGGAGGGGTGGAGGTGGGAGGGGTGGAGGGTGTGGAGGGGTGGAGGGGTGGAGGGGTGGAGGGGTGGAGGGGTGGAGGGGGGGGTGGAGGGGTGGAGGGGTGGAGGGGTGGGGGGGGGTGGAGGGGGCTTGGGCTAGCGGTCCCGGGGTCTCAGGGGTTTGGAGCTTTCAGGGTTTCAGGGGCGTAGAGTTTAGGGATTAGGGTTTAGGGGTCTAGGCTTAGGCGTTTTAGAGTTCGGGGTTTTAGGCTTCAGGGCTTCGGGTCTTAGGGTTCACTGTGCATGTAGGGTTCAACCCTAAACCCTAAACCCTAAACCCTAAACCCTAAACTCTAAACTCTAACCCCTGAACCCTGAAGCCTAAACCCTAAACTTACAGGGCGCTGGTTGGCGGAGCTGATAGAGTTCAGGTTTTGGCCTGCAGAACACCCTTGTTTCTCCAGGAGGGCTTGTTGTCTCCTGATCCTAAACCCTAAACTCCTAACCCTAAGTCCCTAAAGCTACCGTTTCTTAGTAGGAAGGAGGAAATGAGCTACGTTATAGCCCGGTATATATTTACCTTTTAAGGGATTGTCAATATGGGGTACCTAATTCCCTCATTCCCTACTAAGAACCTGAAAGTAGCTGCTAAGCCCTAAACCTCAAACCCTAAACCTTATACCCTAAACTCTACGCTCTAAACCCTAAACCCTAACCCCTAAACCCTAAACCCTACATCTACTAAGAACCCGCAAATAAACGCTTGACCTGCTGAGTTTCACGCGCAGGACTCAGGGTGAAGGGCGGAGGGGTTGGAAGGTGGGGTCTGGAATATTGTCTGGGTTCGAATCTACTTTCTGGTTTAGGGTTTAGGGTTTAGGGTTTAGGGTTTAGGGTTAGGGCTTTGAATGCTGGATCTTTCGGTGTTTCGCTGGCTCTTTTGCGGTTGCCTTCGAGCTCGGGGTGGAAAGGTGTTGCCGGCCGGCGCCGCTACCGTGATGGAGAAGTCAAGCGAACGCCTCATGGGACAGCGAGGAAGGGCTTAGGAGATTTAGGCGTAAGGGTTTAGGCTTGAGGGTTTAGGGTTTAGGTTTAGGGTTTGGGTCTTTAGGATTTCGTGCTTAGGTGGGGGGGGGGGGGGGTTCTTAGGTTGCACCGAGTGAGCTCGCTGATTTATGGCTGTACCCCGAAACCCTGAGCCCCGTGTTTCTTGTGGATAATGTATGGTAGCCTCGGTAGGCCCTTGGGACATGTTGTTTTTTCATTGATTGGGTTTAAGAGGTGGATATTCAGGAATAAATTTCAGAGGGTTTAAGGGCTATCCTAGTAGCTCATGACTTCAGAAACCCTAAACCCAAGACCAGCTCGACCCTCAGCCCCGATTGGGAGGTA